TTTGTGGAAATGAAAACTAGTTCAACCACTGTGGAAGTCAGTGTACAAGTATTTAAAATACTAAAAAAAAAAAAAAAAATAGTTCCATTCAATATAGTTCTTACTCTTCTAAGTCTCATCTACAGAGAGTTAAAGACATCATAGTTCAATGGTACATGCATATTCTTATTTACATAAGCAATACCCACTGCCTCTGTTGGGCAGCAGCAGTAAGCCCTGCTCTGTCAGCAACCAACTGTCAAGGGTAAACTGATACTCTTCACTGTACTCTATTTAATAAATTACATGTAGTAGTTTATATTTTATTATGAAATGGACTCTGAGAGATTATTTTTCCTGACTATAGGTCGATATGAACATGATAAGCATGTTAATATAGCAAGGGCATAGCTATATGTTCAGTTAATTGAGTATATTAAGAGCATATTCAATGTATTTTACTTCAACTTTTTTTGGTTGATCAAATATGTCCATTTTGTTCTTCTAGTAACATCTGCAACCACTTCAACTTCATTGAAATTATGATGCACTTAGCATCAACTTCACTGCATTCTCTCCCGGATTCAATGACTTGTTAATCAGTGTATTGCACTGGAACATACTTATGCATATTTATATAGGTTTCTTTTTCTACTCTTGCTATAAAGGAATTTTTACATTTCCTCATATAATCAGAGGCTGAATACTTCTACAATGGGTGACTGCTCAAGTGATGGTAGAAACTTAAGAACAAGAATGAATAATGCAAATATTCCTAGTGGGGAGGCTTTGAAGCTCCATGGGAAACCACTCATAAAGGTCTATGTCCAAAGACTGAATGAATACTAGATTCTGATATTCTTGGATGATGACAGCACCAAACATCACATCTTTTTAAAAAAAAATTAAGTATGGTGACTCCCTGAACAGTGTGGGAGGCAGGTGGAGCCCTGGGCAACCTCTGGGGCCTTAGTGGCTACTCACCACACCCATAGAGTGTCTGCAGGTGCGGGCAGCAGTAAGTCCTGCTCTGTCAGCAACCAACTGTCAAGGGTAAACTGATACTCTTCACTGTACTCCATTTAATAAATTACATGTAGTAGTATATTTTATTATGTAATGGACTGGTCATATTCAGGAACCCTAGTGCGCTGCTGCTGTGACTCTCTGAACACCATGGGAGGCAGATGGAACACCAGGCACCCTCTGGGGCCTCAGTGGCTACTCGCCACACCCAGGGTGTGTCTGCACGTGCTGGGCTGAACCCCAGACATCTTCAGGAACCCTGGTGAGCCACCAGTGTGCCTC